CTGACGTTTCGATATCCGTCGCGGATTCGTCATCAAAGACATAGTCAGAAAGCAGTATCAGTGTGGAGTTTGCACCCGAAAGCCTATTGACTGATCTCGATTTCGATAATAATGATAATTCCTTGCTAGCCTCAGGCATTGATGATCTACAGTCTATGGTGTTATGGGTAAATGCAGTCGTTACATCGGTCGATGTATCCATAAACGCTGGGAGGTCCAACGTGTTTTCAAGCTGTGTCTCTGACCAGAATAAGGCAACTCCCGAGATTACTTGCAGTCAAATTGACGAAGCAGACGGTTTCAACTGCCTCGGGCGAGATTGCTGTCAAATGGACAGAGTAAAGACGACACTATCTACCGAATCTATGTTGCTCGCCGGATTTTCGCAAGCCTTAGTGTCTATGTAGCCGACGCGCAATCTCCATCCCCACGAAAATGCGCGTGTATCGCGAATCCTTGGGGACGGTCTTTCTCTGTGGTTGTGAATACTGGACTGTGTATGTGAAAGAGATTGCGAAAACTGGAGGTATTTGACAGCCGCTACCAGAGGGGCATCCTTCTACTGAAGTATACAGATTTCGTCTCAAATTAGACCGTCTGCACTCAGTGCGACAACATCGCGAGGATATCCTAAGCCATCCAAGAAGGACGAAACTTTCTTCATTCTCCATATTACGAGCTCAATGTTGCTGGCCTCGATCCGACGCCGTTGTCCTCGTGGTCGTCTAAGTGGCGATCAACTCAAAACCTGGCTCGATGCAGTCAATCAAGAAATGTTAGTAATTCTTCGACTTTCGGTATGCGACCTCTGTCGTTGGAGGAGAAGATGGGTCGAGATGCTCAGATCCATTGCCGCAGGTCGTCAAACGTGGAGAGCTACAATACGTGCCATTATTGAGGCCGGCTAGCGTAGGCATGCTATAAACGATACCAAGAAAACGCGCTAGTAGATAAACTCCTTGGTCGTCTGAGGAAGCAGAAACTTGGTCCTTCTGGCTCTGAATTCACATGCCATTTGTCAAGTGTGTCATTGTGAGTGTAGATCATTATCCAAAGTTACCCGCAGGGAATTGAACTGTTGGGGTGATACTGCTTTCTGCTCGTGCCTCTGATGAAGAATCCGCGACGGGTGTTGAAAAGTCAGGCGAATAACAGTGTTGTCCCAGCGATCGAATCTTCTCCTCAGTCACATCATACTCTTGATCAGGCTTTTACTGCTGAACCCTATGACTTTCCCCCACCTAGCTACTAAAATCGGTCTCGCCTTGTTAACACAGCGTATGCAGTTTATTCCTGTTCCTTATGTCCATTTGGCCTTCATTTCTGGAATTTGTCGATTCATGGACTTCAAGCAACATCTGAGGTCTGGCGATGGCTGGCTGCTGACGTCTGATAAGCCAGAAATGGCCATTGCGGTATGCCTAGTCGTTATCGTTAATGTTTGCCTGGCTATTACCCGTGACTGGTCTACGAATAACCGGTTTACTAGCTTGCCGTTCAGCCAAGCCTCAGGGTACTACTTCGTGGTTTCCACAACTATTTTTTGGACCCTGCAGCCTGCGTCTTTGGTGGCTGGCTTTCACTGGAGACCATCGCTATTCACCTTCCATACATCGGCCCGAAGGTGGCTGCCTACCTTGCTGTCCTCTTCAACCTTTCACT